CGACACACCCACAGCCCCACATATTGCTACTGGGCCACAATGTCGTCATAGACGAGTACGCGCGATACACCTTGACCCGACGTGCCCCCCCCCACACACACACAAGAACAGATGACGCAGAGGCACCCCGCCCCTTCTTTCCCCTGCCCGGCCGTTATCTCGTTCCAATGGACGCACCGAGAGAGGTGGCACAGGGCATCAACTGATGTCACTGCAGAGCCTCTGACCGAGAGATTCTAGGTTCTCGTCCCGACGGTGACGATTTTCGACTCTAGCCAGAGAGCTATCAGCCGTTGTCTTGTGAGTTCTAGAGGCCGGCACCTCTGATCATACCGTGCGAATGCCGCAGCAGTATTCTAATAAGCTGGCCTTGGACTGTGCGCGATCTTTCTTTCCTCTTCCTTACCCTATCCTTACACTTACACTTGCATGCACTACATACCAGCCATGCCGGGAGAGGAGCTTAGAGCTTGTTCCGGCTGGAGAGTTGCCCAGCTGGTGACAGATACCTGGTTGAGGAAAGCCCGTTTGTCCACGGTAGTTGGATGTCAACAACCAGCCGAGGAAGGTAACCACCGCCTCCCAAGGAAAACACGTAAACTAACCTTACGGAACTAATGACGTTGTCGGTTGACGCGTTCGTGATGACTAATTCCTCTGTAATGTCCTCGCCGCGCCACCGCCCGTGACGTTCAGCGCCGTCAACCGCTATCCAAGTGCTGCAGCACCTCACAACACTCCTCGCCCCCTCCCCCCGGGCACGGGTCTCCGTGCAGCCTGGCCGACACCACCCTCCGCCCTTTCTCTTTGCCGCCCCGCTGGAAATGTTTCATTATACAATTAGTTTCGACATAAAATTATTTGTGGCTACAGAGAATATTGTCCGTTTCCTTTAAAATCACGTGTTAGAAAACATAATTTTACGTCAAAATTACTATCAAAACATTAAAATAATACACTTCATTGTACTCGTCTTCACTGTACTGCCTTTCTTTTTTTCTTTTTTGAAGAGATAGTCCAACATTCAGTCTGTTTCTCCAAATGCACATCTGTTCTTAAACCTCACTACTACTAGTGCGGTTGCGATGTGCTTAAGGTCAGCTCTGGCGATAGAGAAGAGGGAGGAAGCTGAGAGAAGGATGCGATAATGCATGACGAAGTTTTTTGTTTTTCTTAACATCAGATGAGTGTTGAAAGACGCAACTTTTACTAATGATTAACATTGGTGCTAATATTAAAAATCCTAAACGATGGATCGTTAAATTGTTGCCTACATTGAGATAGAGGAAATGAAGGGCGCTGAGGTTCGTCATTGTCATTCGTCTCAATTGGTATGTATCTTCGCGTGTTCCTATGTTCGCATCTTAAACATTCAATGTTGGGAAACAAATATATTCTTAACTTACATGTATTAAAAATATTATATACTCCTACTGCTTTTGAAACAAACTGAATACTTGCCGCATTCGTTAATTCACTGATAGTAAAAATTGTCTTTGAAATAACAAAAAAATCAATAGTTATCATATTATTTCAAATAATGAAGTCCCGTTTTTTCGGAGGAACTTTTTAGGTGTAAGTTGGCTACCCTGTCTGCATCCAATAATTGGCACCGCGCAGCTTCACATTTTCGCTCTAGCAGCGCACGCGGCAGCACAGGGCGGGCGATGGCGGGCAGGCAGCGAGCGTGGCCCAACTGCCGCGTCCCCGACCCCAGCGGCTGAAGTTTAAGCCCCGGGAAGGGCGAAGTTTGCTGGCTCGTTATCGATGGAACTCGTCTTTGTGGCGACGGCTGTTCATTGAAGCTGCGCTCCAAGAGAATCTCCAAGGTTGCCTAGTACTTGCATTTGTAGGGCCGTTGGAATATCGAGGGAACGTAGTGATGTAGCTCAACATGACTGGACAAAATTTCAAAGGCTGGAACTGATGCCAATACAAAAGAAATCGCATAAGCGGTTAACTTGTACAAAGGAATTGTTTCTTTAATTCATTTGTGGTTCCCTTCGTACTCATTTACAATAGTTTGGAGGTAGAAGTGAAATAATGCAAATGGTATAAACTCATTAATACTATATGATGGATGTCTCCTCCGTTATTTCATCATGAAATTATCTCAATAAAACCTCATAAGCATTCCCTCAATTAATAGTACATATTTGGCTGATCAGTTCAGTACTACTTCTTATAATTAGTTCTCATTACTATACTAACGTTGTCTTATAAACGTATGACTGTTGCCAGAATGTAAGCATTTGGGAGCTCAGTATAGTTCTTGTATTTGCCCCAGTTACAGCTCAGACGTCTATTCTTTTCTTTTCTCCAAATTAATAGTTTATAAGGCATTCACTTGTACTAAAATGATCAAATAAAAGGAAGCAATTGTCTGTAAAAGAGTGCAAAAAGTCACAAACAATACAATAGCATTAAAACTGATCAATAGTTTTAAAAAATGTCCAAAGGGGAACAAAGGCGGAGGATGTTATTCCTCGTGGTGAAAGAAAACCATTCGGCAGCAATAAAATAAATGTAAGAAATTGACTAGTATCGAATCGCGTTATTGCAGTGTTTTTAACACGTCCTAAAACTAGTGTAGTGCCGAGATCAATACGCTCGGCTTTAAATCACCCTTCCACTTACAGGTACAAAACACAAATTGCCCACGTGATGTTTAGCCTTAAAGATATGTTTTGAAATTGATCGAGATCGGTGTTATTAGAAAAGGTAAAATTATAACGAAAATGGAAGAAAAATATCAAAAGAAGTTAAGATACAAAAAATATTAAGCGACATAAAATGGGCAGAAGTAGGCAAAATGCATATCTTGGAAATTAATTTAAGAAGTTAGTGATTTCTTTTGAGAAAAGTCTTAAATTCGTATATATTTTTGAGGAGACATTTTATCAAATGTCTGGGCTCTAGTCAGACGAATGTTCAAAATGTAGCTCTGACAGATATTTGACAAAACAGCGCACAAAATCTATTATGTAAATTTTGATATATTATATTTGAAAAATATGCTGATATTACGATTAATTGTCAAAGGCTGTTGTATCATTTGAAGTTTGTTACAAAAAAGAGGTTATACTACAAAATAGGTATATTTTTTTAGTTTTTGACTTACGTCAAACGTAAGCCATTAAGATGAATGAGCGAAGACATCAAAAGGAGCTTATTGTAAAGATGTTGTGTTTTCACAAAGTCGGTTCCTTTGCTTCATGAATTGAGCGATCGGCATCGACAACATTGAATTCGCGACTGGGAAGTGAAAAGTTTCGTGGTTATTTTTAAAGATCTTCTTGACGAAAGTTCTTGAAAAGAATTGCCAATGTATTTATTTGATTCCATTTCTGTGAACAAGAAATATTGATTGAGATTCAAAATTTTTATTGAAAAAAATCAAATAATAATGTCAATGAAGTGTGCTGGAGGTCTCTTTGAAATTATTTTGTAAATAATATTGACGAAAGAGATACACAATTTAAAGAGACAAAGTCCTAAACATTACATTAAAGTTGATATCAGTGGTATGAAGTACGTACTAAATGTATAAAATGTTCGGTTTACTGACAATTAAAAAAAAGTATTTTAATTAAAACCACTTCGCTACATTTTCTCACCACAGCAATGTTTCGACTCTAAGCTTTGGATCTGTTGATACACAAATCTAAAGTTGGTCAAGTCATATGTGTCGCATTCACACGTCATCGATGGCTATCGTGTAGTGCAACAGTCATAACTGCAATTGTTGCTCACGTCTGAGTGATACATTGCTTCCGTGCACAATGTTTCTTTCCTTATGACCAAGTAGTGAACTGGTATATGCTTCGTTATTGCAATGTATTACACATCACTCACTACTGCTCACGTAATTGTTAACCATGTTATACGGTACGCTCTTCAAAATTTTAATAGATGAAGACGTTCTTGTAAGTACGTAAGTATGGTTGTCAAGTATCCAAACGTTAAATCTTTGACCCCTAAATTTGGGCATGGGTTCGCTTCGACACTATGTTGGAAAAACTTGATTTAATTGTTCGAGATTCAATTAATAATTCCGTCAGTTCTTACATAATTACAGGGGTTGAATCCTTGTAGGTAATGAAAACGAGTTTAATCCTTCTCAGTGCGGCGAGTTGCGTAGAGTTCAGGGGTGCGTGAGTCGTCATAAAAGAGTAAATTATCAACAACGCCCTCACGTATCCGACTTAATTCACCACACATTAAACACTTCCATTACTAATAAGAACAAAGTGTGAAAATTTTAGCGAAATTGGTCGGCTAGTTTTTGCGTCTATGTGCGACATTTCCTTTTGTTTATAAATAGATTTGCACCTCTGGATTTCCTTTTCCGATTGCAGATACTACAGAGCGAAGAAATTTACTCGTTCGCTATCTCGGAATTAGGTATCTGTGACATCCCCTATTTCCCCGAGCGAAAGATCTCCGCCCCACCACCCCCTTGCGGCGCTCTCGATGCAAATGGGTGCGGGGGAGAGGGAAGGGGGCGTCGGGCCGCGTCGCCCCACCTGTAGTCAGGGACTAATCGGCGCAGCAGGCCCCGGGGTGTCGGTAAGAAAGGACGCGGGGGCGACGGAAGCGATGCGAGGAGGCGAAGGTGGTGGAGGAGAGGCGGTGCAGGCGAAGGAAATGGTGTGGGCAGTGGAGGGGTGGTTAGGACGAGTACAGGGGTGGGAATGACGTTGCGGTGACTGGGGCTGGGAAAATGGATGAAAGAAGGGGAAAGTGGCGGAGGCGAAGGAAATGGAAACGGTGAGGTCTCTAAGGGAGAAGGGGTGAAGGGCTGGGAGAGACATTGCGGTGGATGAGGCTGGCGAAGTGGGAAGGCTCAGTTTGAGGGGGGGTTCGGGTGCGCAGGCAATGGGAGGTCTGTGACGGTGGAGGGGATTAGGACGGGTGAAGAGGTGGGAATGTCCCGTCGGCGACGGGCGGCAAGGCGGTGGAAGGGCGGAACGTGGCGGAGGCATTGAGCGTAGTGGGGAATGGGACAGAAGGGACCAGGCCGTCCCACGAGAGGCGACCGGCCCCCTCCGTCGAGGGAGACGGCTTCTTTGAAGGGCCTTCCCTTCAAGCTGCCCCCGCTCCCCGCCCCCACCCAGCGCATCTCTTCCCGCTCCGTTCATTTACGCACAAAGGGAGACGAGACAGACGGAAACATAATGAGTTTCCCGGGGCTCGACTTGAATGTCTTGCTCGACGGAGCGCCGCGGTGTTGGTTTTGTGGCGAAATTGTGGCACCCGGAGGCGTCGCAGCCCCCGTCTCGTTGACTTTCGTCTCCACTGTTGCCTCCGAGGTCTCCGTCCTGTTCTGCTGTGATCGCTCGGCGCCCCCCGGGGCAGACGGTCACTTAAGTTGCGCCCCCTTTTGCAATTTTCAAGCTCTTCGCCAAGTCACTGCCAATTTCCACTACACCGTCATTTGTGTGCTGTATTTATACGTTGCTAATCACTCGTTCTCGGCAAGGGACGATAGTGATATTCTAGAATCTAGATGTATTTTTCCCCTGGCCCTTATTCAGTTGTATTCCATATGTAATGTAGAACTTTAAATGCGCAGCCGCGTCTGAATCACCACCTTTACATGTATTTACTTTGTAACCATTGGTATCTTGTTTTATTCGCCGGTATCTTACCGTCAAATTGAAATTATAAATTGCCACACAACGCTTCTTGAAAAAGCAATGGTGTAATTTCCAACTGAACTCGGAGATGAAAGGGTTGATTTGATAGGAGGCAACTCTGCTCTGTGCAGGATTTAACTTACAACTTCCTTTAATATTTTGATTCAATCACATCTATTGTCCACCAGTGAAGGGTAATCTTTGTTCACTAAATACGTTAAAGAAACCCAAGGGCTATGTTCTATCACTATATTTTAAATTAATGCTCCCACAAATATTTTTTCTTCAAACGGAACTTTAAAATAAAGTTAACGATGCTCTCAATAGCCTATAGAACTTGAATTCAATTCAAAATAAAAGCTTTTGTTAATTTGATGATCATCTAACCGTAGTTTTGCACACAATGTCCATATTGAAATTCTGATGTTTTAATTTGTAGAGGAAGAGTTCCTTTTATTACTAATTTCAAAGACATGTTTCACTGTATACTATACTTTTCTCGTGACATTTTGTGTTTGCATATTTGCATTTTTATGGGCTTGAAGTGTTTTACTTATTTAAATATAACAAATGTGTTCAGATTTTTTCAGTTTACAATAGTTATGTTAAGTGTATCATGTAATAACAATGTCACGTTTCTAAATTTACGTTCTGTCTGTTACAGGTGCTGCTGATTTGAAGACTGATGCGAAGTCTGCTGTGAAGTGCTGCTGATGAGAAGTCAAGAAGCTGCTAATCGTGAACATTGTGTGTGCGGTGTTTTCATGTGTTGGCAAGGTACTTTTCAAGAAAAACCGTATCTTTTGAGGAGAAATGTGGTGGTGGATAACTAGAAAAGTTCAATGTGTTTAAGTGTTTGCATGTTGGTGATTGAACCAAAGTTGGTGAAAGTGAGCAAAGGCGAACAGGGTTGACGTAATTGATTGTTTTTACTCATATGTATATCTGTAGTTTAAACGGCCATGTTGTTGTTGGCGATGTTTTGTTTTGTTGTTATGTAACGCGTGGTGTTACACTTCACGTGTCTGTGACTAAAGTACTTCGTTTAATCAAGTGGCCAATAACAGCCAGTGATTTGGTGTAACGGAAAAAACTGTAGAGATGGTTAGAGTTGAATGACTTTAAGAGTGGCAACATGAAAAAAAACAACTTTCAAACTCATTGTTGGTTTTAAGAATGTTTATTTCAAATTACATGTTTTTGTTAAATAGTTTGTTCCAAAGTTCATAGGAAAGGAAATGAAATACTATGAAATATAATAAAAAGTTTATGCTTACGTTCTCGTCATCTACTTGTCTTGCAAAAATAACAAAGTAATGGAAATAGACAATTTACTGAAAGTGAATGGCAGGAACAATCTAAGTACATGAAATTCACAAAAAAGAATGCCAAAACGAATTACTCAGCGCAATGAGTATCAATGATTTATTATTTAAAATGTACTCATGAGTGTTTTGTTTTTACTTGGGAGTAACCCTTCAATATAAGGTAAATAAAAGAAAAATAAATAACCTTTAGAATACCCATTCATTTTCAAAGATTTTGAAAACATTCTAAGAAGTGGGCAATATCAGAGAGAGTTTAAAACTGTGAAAATAATTGCATATTTTTTCATTCGTTAACGATAATATTGAAATAAATTTTCTGTACTTCATGTATGTACTACGTGCATTAATTATTCTGAAACAGATACCTATCTTTGGTGTTCCGAGAGCGTACTTGTTTTGACGTACAGTGCTGCCATACAGTCGTGCTATATCATATTTTATAATCGTCTTGAATTACTAAAGAAATATTCCTATGTAATTTACTCTTGAAATAATCTCTAGAAAGTCGAAGTCAAACTTTCATTTTACTAGAAGTTTTCTATTTTATGTGTAAAGGCTCTTTTGGAAAGTTTTCATTAATACCATCCAAAGATATACCAAAAGTCAGAAGTCAATATTAATTCAGATGAAAGAGAATGTTTTGCGTAGTTTATACCAGTAATGTTCAAAGAAAATTACGAAACTTTTCAAACTTTTGTCTTAGGTTGTAAAAAAACGTAATTTTGCATGAAAAGAACTTGTATTTAATTTTGTGTTGTGGCTTAAATATTCTCTTTATTTGGCACAGTATTAAGGTTCACTCTCGTGACTATTATTTTTACCTTTTTGTTCTTTAAGTCGTTTATTAACTTTTCCTACTCTTTAATATTCTGTTTTTCTGCTGGTGTACTAAAAATGTAACATGATCATCAATTAAGTCCACAAAAGTTCTATGCGTAAAAAGTATATATTAAATAGTAGCAATATAATTTCTATCATTTCGATTAGTTGTTACAGCTCATTGCTTGTTTAAATATAAAAGCATTTTTGTTTTCTTTCTTTCTTTCTGTTTTAAAAGTCGTCTATTATAAATATATAGTCACAATTCTCTGTATGTTTATTTTCTTTTTCCCTTTTTCATGAAAGCATTTGCTACTAATTCTTTTTCACTTTCCTCATCATTTTAAGTATTTTACTCGAATAGCTTTGCATTAATCTCTTTCTATTCTTACTACATGAACACAATTTTAGCACTAATTAATTCAAATACACAATTTTAATGGATGTTTTTTTTGTCAACTACATCAACGAATCCGAAAACAAAAATCATTCTGGCACAAATGTCTAGTTCAGAAACAGAATTTAAGCTGTTGACATTTCCTGTTTATGATGTCATGCCACTGAAACAATTATTATTTTTCGCGACGAAAAACGTGTGCCGTAAAATTTTAAATTCACCTAAAACGAGAAATGGCTCTGGTCACGTGTTTTTTGTTGTTGTTTTTTTCTGACGGGCGTACTGCCCAAACCAGCTGACTAACGCTGTCCGTATTACGTGCGCCGTAGGTGGTCCGACGAATGGATTCCAAATTTCGTGTTTCAATATAAAGCAATATTATGAATTAAATTGACGGTACTGTTTCCGTGTAGTAAAATAGTATTAATGTGAAAAGACAACAAATAATCCTTTTTTATGCTTAAGTGAGGTTGTCGGTGAACGATTAATTAACCTTGAAGTTCACGTGTCTGTTTAATGTGATTAGAAAATAATATTGGTGTAACTATGGGTATCTCACACTGATAAAATATACTTAAATTATTCTCAAAACATAATAAATTATTACAAAATTTTCAGCACGAAACTATTATTTATTAAATAAACAAATGAACTATTACATATTTTAATTTCCTAAAGTCCAACAGACCTCTATTTATGAACACTTAGTAAATTTACATCCATAGTCTGAAACATAAATTCTCTGAATTATCGCAGCAGGAATGGAAAGTAAGATTTGATCTCTGCGGGTCGCATTTTGTCCATCGTTTACTCCTCTATTCATTTCACACGCATTGATTATGTAATGTAGTGAGAAAATAGTAAATTTCATATTAGCCGTGCCAGATTCATCTAGTTTCTTTTGACATTGCTTTATCTCAGTTCCCTCCTTATCTATAACTCGAAGAAAAATATTTTATGCAAAACAAGTTGCTATTTTCTTGTGTCCATACGTAGTGATTATGCTTTTATAGTGAACGCTGAAAAAAAACGTCAGTTAAGTACGTGGTGTATATGAACATATTAATTGGGAAAGTTAATATGAATTTAAGATTTCTTATCAAAAAATTTACATTTATTAGAAGAAATCTATTTTGTTTACAATTTTTGATTGCGAGATCGTGTCCAGGAAAGAAATATCTTTTTTATCTGACACTCAGTGCTTCCCCCTTCTTCCTGTGATGATGTGAAGTTGTGGCACTTGTTTTGCTTTATCGTTTAGCGAAATTAATTAGTTAGCAATTCGATTACGGATGGCATTAATTAATTGCGCGAATTTTAACTAGAAATATTTATTAGTAGTCGTGTTTCCTCTTCATCAGTAATTAGAGAGGGAACTAAACCGGCGTTGGTAACGGTGGATTTATTACACGGTGTTTAAAGAGGTAAATAAACATTCAAGTGTAAAGCGATGCCGCAAACAATATATTTTGTACAGTGTTATCAGGGAACAGTATTCTTTCGCATCCGAAATTCGTTGTTTTAGCATTCCACTTAATATTAGAGAATTGTTTATTTAAACTAGCTAATTGAACCAAATCGCGTTGATTCTAAAGTTAAATGGCAAGCTCAAACTGAAATAGGAATTGCAATTCTTTGTATCTAACGGAGTTCGGTATTTGCTGCATAACATACCTGGATTGAGAGGACCGTGGATACGAGAGAAATATGAAAACAGTTGAATGATGCTAAATGTTTCCTCACGGGGAGAATTAGAAAAAGGGTATTATGGGAGGGAAATATGAAAATACGAGTTAATTTAGTTAACATTGTTAACATTGCGTTAATTAGTAAAAAATTAAATCTGAATAGATAAAATTAGGTAAAAAAATGAAATTATGGATGTAGCAGGGTCGTTAACAATTTCTAATGACCTCGGGCGACAAATGCCTGCGGATTAATGGCGCAGGCGTTTTGTCACCTCTCGGTCATTAGAACCCTTATAACGCCCTTGGCGCATACATAACTATTTTTCACTCATACAATAGTTGTTTAAGAATCACTTTCGAAGATTATGAAACAGTAAGATTCTCAATTCGCAGTAAGTGAATAGTATTTTTTTTGGTAATATAAATAACATGATAGCTCTGAAGAAACTACCATGCATTTTATGGTGGACATAGAAAAAAACCAAGTGCATTGTTTACTTTGTCAAATTTTTTCTTGGCTGGGTTGTAAACAAGGGAGAAACTACTTCTTATCTCTCTGGGAAGATTATATTGTACTTTTGCTCCGCATTTGGTAAAGTAGTAGCACACTCCCATTCCCGTCACATTTTATTTATTCTTCCGTATTCACTATCTCGAAAAGCAATTCAGTACTTCTCCTATACTTTAATTTATTATACATAATTAAATAACATATATGAAGTTATAAAGAAAGTGTCCTAATAATTATTGGATTGTAATTATACAGCGTATAAGTTTATATTAAGTTTAGTTATCGAATAAAAAAATTAAAGGAGAAAACCGTAAAGCAACTTTATAATTGTTGAACATTTTAGCAACTAAGCTATAACAATTATTTTATATTCTGTCGAGAGGAGAAGGGCATTTCAACTGCTACATTCATTTGCCCTGTGCGAACGTCACATTTTCCAACATCGTGCAAAGCACAACCCGAGTGAGCAAGATGAAAATATGAAGACAAGCGCTGTAATATGAATTTGCCTGGCGACGCCTGTTATTTAAGCGAGAGAGAATGCCCAGGAGATGTTTTGGACAGTTGGCGCGTTTGTCTCGCGTGAAGGGAGGTTCACCGCTTCCACTTAGTTCGCAACTCATTCCCAGTCTCTCTTGAACCGCCGCCCACCCCTCCCCCTCGCATTAGCAGGGGTGGCAAAATGTCGAGCGCGAATGCACTCGTCGAACTTAGACGCCGCCAGACACGTGACGACATTTAAAGCTGTGTAGATCAGGCATTGTTGATCGTTATAAATTGAAATGATTTTCTCAAATAATAACAGTAATAATAATAATAATAATAATAAGAAGAAGAAGAAGAAGAAGAAGAAGAAGAAGAAGCCTATACGATCCCTTTTGAAAAAAGCCTCCTATTCGAAAATAGCGTAGCTCAGATCTTCTAGCTCGAAAATGGCAATACTTCAGATGAGCTAATCATAATAACTATTCTCTACTATCTGTTCAATTTTGCTTGTACAACCATTGTAATGAAAAAATTGTTTTCTTACATATTTTTCACTTGTAATATCACTTCTTCTTTTCATAATAATAATAATAAAATGGCCAATTAACACAAATTGAAGTACACTTTCGTATTACAGTTTTCACTTGTAGTTAAGCACATTTTAGCATGTTTTGCATACATTTCTTGTTATGCAGTTTTTCGTGGTTGGTGGTGGTTACTAAACTTTTCATATTCGCTTTTCAACAAAGTTCAGTTCTGCGCAAATCTGGTCCAGTTACCCGCTATTTTCAAATGCACTCTTATGCACTCTTCACATGGACTAGAACGGTTTTCAATGATTAGTTAAATGTCAATATTTGGTTTGTAAACTTTTTTTGTGATTGGTCAAGAACCTGCATCACAATGAAATCCGTAT